GGAAGGAAAGGAGAGAGAGTAACTGACTTTGGGAAAAAAATGAAAAAAGGGGTTTACCCTGAAAGAGAGAGAATGGAGAAAGAAAGAGAGAGAGTAATTGACTTTGGGGAAAAAAAGGAAAAAAAAGGTTATCCTGAAAGAAAGGGAATGGGGAAAGAAGGAGGAAGAGTAACTGACATTGGAAAAAAAAGGAAAAAAAGGGGTTTATCCTGAAAGAATGAAAAGGAGAAAGAGTAACTGGGTTTATCCTGAAAGAGAGAGAATGGAGAAAGAAGGAGAAAGAGTAACTGACTTTGGGAAAAAAATGGAAAAAAGGGTTATCCTGAAAGAAAGGGAATGGAGAAAGGAGGAAGAGTAACTGACTTTGGGGAAAAAAAATAAAAAAGGTTATTCTGAAAGAGAGAGAATGGGGAAAGAAGGAGAAAGAGCAACTGACTTTGGGGAAAAAGGGAAAAAAGGGTTACTCTGAAAGAGAGAGAATGGAGAAAGAAGGAGAAAGAGTAACTGACTTTGGGGAAAAAGGGAAAAAAGGGGTTTATCCTGAAAGAGAGAGAATGAAAAGGAGGAAGGAGGAGAGAGTAACTGACTTTGGGAAAAAAAGGAAAAAAGGGTTTATCCTGAAAGAATGAAAAGGAGAAAGGAGGAAGAGTAACTGACTTTGGGGAAAAAAAAAAAGGTTTATCCTGAAAGAGAGAGAATGGGGAAAGAAGTAGAAAGAGTAACTGACTTTGGGGAAAAAATGAAAAAAATGGTTATCCTGAAAGAAAGAGAATGAAAAGGAGAGAGGAGGAAAAGTAACTGACTTTGGGAAAAAAATGAAAAAGAGGTTATCCTGAAAAAAAAGAAAAAAGAAAAAAAGGGTTATCCTGAGAGAGAGAACAGAGAAGGAAGGAGAAAGAGTAACTGATTTTTTTTTTTCAGAAAAGAGAATGGAGAAGATGGAAAGGAGTAACTAAAAAAAAAAAAACATTAAGAAAAGAGAATGGAGAGGGAAAGAAAATAAATAAATAAAATAATAGAAAAAGAGAATGGATAAAGATGGTCTAAGAGTAACTGAAAATAAATAAAGAAACGTTTTCTTTATGAGAAAAAGAGGAACTGAAAAATGAAAAAGTGAACGGAGAAACACGTAGCAAGAATCATTGAAAAAATAAAGAAAAAAACGTTTTCCTTAAAGAAAAATGAAAATGGAGAATGATGGAGAAAGAGTTAAGTGAAAAAAAAATAAATAAAACGTTTTCCTTTTCTCACAGACCAAACCACGGACGGAGAGGAAATTACGGTAGCTCTAAATCTAAAGACATTCCTTTTTTAGCCATTAGATCAGTCTCCCCGAATGATGAAGACGCATAGAAAACGGAGTCTAGGGGGTCGGTGCGTATAGCGTTTTATCATATTTCTTTTTTTTTGTTATTTATTTTCTTTTAAATATAATTCTTTCAAATTTCTTGTTTTTTTTTGTTATTTATTTATTCTTATATAATTCTTTCAAATTTCTTTTTTTGGGGGGCTATTTTTTTATTCCTTTTAGAATTCCTTTGTCAGAAATGTATAGACATTTACTCTCTTATACACGTATACACTCATACAGTCACACAAGGGCAAACGCACACACGCACACACACACACACACACACACACACACACAAACACACTCAAAGACCCCCCCCCCCCCCCACCACACACACGGATGAAAACGGCAACGCTATTTGACCAGGGAAACAACTCGCCATAACGGAATTTCAACTATAACGAACTTCTCGCTACAGTGAACTTTTCTCTAACGAAACGATTTCTCGCCATAACGGAGTTTGAACTATACCGAACTTCTCGCCATAA